TATTTCTTGTCTTTGAACTGATCTGTGTTGGCGAATTCAACAGTTGTGTAAAGTTGAATTGAAAAAATATACTTCTCACTGGTCTCAGGTCAAATATTTATATGCTATTAAAATGTGATTAATTTTGATTGCAATTTCTATGGAGTCCTGGCCCTAAATAAAACATTCTTTAAAGCAAAAGCCTATATAAAACCATACAGTATATAGCGTCAGGATTAAGAGAGTGGTCAGACCTGCAGCCCAGGGTGGTCTGCAGCAGGGTCGTGATGCCCACACAGAAGAAGATGGTCCCGATGAGCTGGCTCGTGGCCCACTGGTCGAAGCCCACACACATGGCATCAGCCAAGAGGAAGGGCACGGCGATGGTCCCACTGAAGCAGGTCAGGTAGTGCTGCAAGACACACAACAGACAGGTTAAGTGTGTGGTGCAAGACACACAACAAACAGGTTAGTGTGTGTGTGGTGCTAGAGATACAACATACAGAAGTGAGTGTGCTGCAAGAGACACAACATTCGGCGGCACGGTGGCTGAGTAGATAGCACTCTCGCTTCTCAGCAAGAAGCTCGTTCTCCCCGTGTCTACGTAGGTTTCCTCCGGGTGCTCCGGTTTCCCATTCCACTATAAACATGTACAATAAGTCTGGCATGTGCCTCCTGTACTGGCCCCGCTCCCATCTCTGTGTGGAGTGAGAAAAATGCCCACAATTGTAAACCGCTTTGTGACTCTGGTCTGGGAAAGGCGCTATATAAATAAAGATTACTTACTTATGAATAAAGATTACTTACTTACATACAGGTGAAGTGTGTGTGGTGCTAGAGACACAACATACTGTGACTATTATGGTGTGAATGCTTACAAAGGGAACTGGGTGTTTGCGTCTGACTGAATAACTAGGCCTAAGAGAGACCAATATAGAGATAATGGAGAAGGACCAGAACTCACCTGCATCCCCAGGAACACACACAGGTACCAGGGAGGAGTGTCTTCGATGGTGTAGATCATGTCCATCCTTCTCGCATCCATGCTCTCTGCACTGTCCAGCGTCTCGGACATGGAGCTCTGGACACAACAAACACATAATGATAATAATAAAATTTATTCAAAAGCGCCTTTCAAAACACAGAAAGACACTGTACAAACTTGTTTAAAAACAGGGTGCAATTCAAAAATATTACCATTAAAAACACCACATGATTAGGAACCTGGAGCCTGCCTGAAAACGGTAGACAAGCTTCTACTACAACTGAAAAAAATGATATATAATCCTTAAAATTATATCCATAGAACTGCACAGCAAAATATTAAAGTTGAGGTACCTAGGGTTTGAACTGCAAAAGTGAGACGCCGAAACACTTCTTCTGACCATCACTCAACAAAAAGTGGTTGGAAAATAAAAATAATCTCAATTTGAGCACATTCTTACTGAGCCTTAAAATAAGATTTGCCAATGGGACGAAGAAAAATGATCTTGTTTTAAAAAGATACAAGAAACGTGTCGCTTGGAATGAGAAAATAAATCAATAGTTCTTGAAATAAGACTAAAAGGCTTTGTCCCGTTGGAGAATCTAGTTTTACACAGTCAGAATGTGCTAAGGATAGAATAAATAAAAACCACTTGATTCAAGCATTTATTACCTCGTATTTTATCATTTTTTGCAGACTGTTCACTCACTCATCACATTCAGCCTCGGACAATCTATGCTCGGACCACATTTGGACGTGAAACTAGCGGTAATCTTTCAGTTATATATTTTTTTAGCAGTGCGCTGCTTTTGTCCATTTCATCAGTGATTGTTGTACAGCTTACAAGAAGTTGTGCTAATGTTAATGTTAGCATCAGATCGCAAATAAAATGAGATGGCTGCGTGGGATGAGAGCGTAGGGGAAATGAGAAGCCTGTGAGCGAGTTGGGGGGCGGTGCTAAACATTCAAACCTTGCCGAAACGGGTATAGCTCCTTTAAGGCTAAAATCACAATGGGCAGGAGTGAAGACATGCCCTGTGCTGTATGAGAATGTCTTTATCTCTCCTCACATGACTTTGGGTGTGTCACAGAGAGACATAGAGTTTGATGTACAGAGCATTAACCCAAAGATCCTCATAAATAAATAACTGTTAAAACACTTAACCAATCTTAGCGTCAGTGCAACAGCAAGACGATAACAGAGACATGGAGATGGTGATGGAATGAAAGCAGTAATGCAGAGACCAGAGACACCAGAGAGAGATCAGAGAGACAGACGAGAGACAAGAGAGAGATCAGAGAGAGATCAGAGAGAGATCAGAGAGAGACCAGAGAGACAGACGAGAGAGAGATCAAAGAGAGATCAGAGAGGGATCAGAGAGAGACCAGAGAGACAGACGAGAGACAAGAGAGAGATCAGAGAGAGATCAGAGAGAGACCAGAGAGACAGACGAGAGAGAGATCAGAGAGATCAGAGAGGGATCAGAGAGAGACCAGAGAGACAGACGAGAGACAAGAGAGAGATCAGAGAGGGATCAGAGAGAGACCAGAGAGACATCGAGAGACAAGAGAGAGATCAGAGAGAGACCAGAGAGACAGACGAGAGAGAGATCAAAGAGAGATCAGAGAGGGATCAGAGAGAGACCAGAGAGAGATCAAGAGAGAAACAAGAGAGAGACAAGAGAGAGACCAGAGAGAGACCAGAGAGAGACAAGAGAGAGACCAGAGAGAGACAAGAGAGAGACCAGAAAGACAGACAAGAGAGACCACAGATAGCAGGGCGAGAGAGAGAGAGACCAGAGAAAGAGACCAGAACGAGACAAGAGGGACCAGAGAGAGATCCGAGAGACAGACAAGAGAGACCACAGACACCAGAGACAAAAGAGAGAGACAAGAAAGAGACCACAGACGCCAGAACAAGACCACAGAGAGACCAGAGAGAGAAAAAAGAGAGACTGGAAAGACAGACAAGAAAGAGACCACAGACACCAGAGACAAAAGAGAGAGACAAGAAAGAGACCACAGACGCCAGAAAAAGACCACAGAGAGACCAGAGAGAGAGAAAAGAGAGACTGGAAAGACAGACAAGAAAGACCACAGAGACCTGAGAGATAGAGAGAGAGAGACCAAGGAGATAGACCAGAGAAGGACAAGAGAGAGACACCAGAGAAAGACAAGGGAGAGAGTGACCAGAACGAGACACGAATGACCAGAGAGGTGAGAGCTTGGCCTGTGAGTGTGCGTGTGGCCAACTTTTCCTTCGGTTTGTGATGTTTGAGTTGTAAGAAGTGAAAGTGGTGGAAGAATGTGGCGGACAAAAGAACAAAGGGAGGAGCAGCGACAGAGCAGAGCTGTGTCATGGTGACGGTGCAGAAATCAACCAGCAAAGACAAATAACCAGATTACAGAACGATAAGGCAAGAACTTACAAGAAGTTTACAAAGATAACATTCTGCTCAGTATGGACAGAGTGTGGCGTGTGTAAGAATATTATATGAATGGGAATGATTTTTATTTTATTTGACTAAATCTTTATTTAGAAGCATCAAGTAATATGGAAACAATGAAAATCCATATTTACATACATACATTTGTGTGTGTGTGTGTGTATTGGTTTGTATGCATATATGCAAGCAAAAATTCAGATATTTAGTGATGGCAATGTGTGTGTGTGTGTGTGAAAAATAAAAACAGCTCATTGTCTGTGTGTTCCTTGTTTTATCATTATAATATTAATAATTTGGGTGGTCCCCCCCCGACCAGGAATGGACAAGGGGTTGAAAAAGAATGAATGAATATTAATAATTTAATGAATGAATGAATGAATTTCATTGTGTTTTTATGATTTTGAATGTTGTCCTCATTTGGCCAAACATTACAGAAGGGGAAGTGAAAAACAGAAACAAGAGAAAACAAAATCCTGATTACGCAACAACTGTGAGGTGTGTTCTGTCAGAAAATATGTTTTAGAGAAACATTATAACATGTGAATATGTAAATGTTCATGTTTCAGAATGTTTTAGAATGAAAGAAATGAGAAAATATAGAACGTTGACTGGGAGATTGTAGCGTTTTGCTCAAATCGCATAAATGTGACTGAAGAGATTCCCAAAAATGAAATAACTGTGATTAGGGCTGGGATTGACAATTGTTTCTTAAACGATTAATCTAGCAATTATTTTTTCAATGCATCGATTAATCTAACGATTAATTTTTTCAGTTCGTTTTGGTTCGATTTGATTATCTCCCCATTAATTGACTAATATCAATGTATACATGTTGATTTACATATCTGAATGGAAAAACATGAATTCCTAAACAAAATATAGTTATTGCTCTTAAAATTCAAAAATAAGACATTCTTAGTCAGAGGTAGCATAAAACCTTGAAGCCTTGAAAACACATCAAGCTTACTGATAAAAATGCATCTAATTATTCTTCTTTCAGATAAAAATAACACTTGATGTTTAGCATTCAATAAAATAAAACCAATGTAATCTTGAGGGCTTTAAGCTAAAGAGAGAGGGCTTTTCTAGCAAAAAATAATGAAAATAAACATTTAGAATTCAACAGTAATGTTGAACATAGGCCTAGCTTACTGAAAAAATCATCTTCATTCACAAATAACAGATAACAAATAACAACTTAGACTCTGACCCTTTCCTTTCCCCTTAAGAATATGTCCGTCTCTTTGTGTGTGCTTTTGAACATTCCTACAGCCCGAGTTGTCAATCTCCAGTGACTAAACTAGCGCAGCTAGCATGTTCGCCAATGCGGAAGTACCGTCTAATAATAAAATAAACTGACTGCGCACCTCCGTGAACACATACTGCTGTTATATAAAATCTCTGGAAGGTCTCTGGACACAGAGACGCTGCAGAGCTGCCTGAAGGAGAAGAACTTTACACAAAAAGCCGCTAGCATAACGCCGCTAGCTTAACTCCGCTAGCTTAACTCTGTTAGCCCAGGACTTCTGGTCAGAACCATAATAACAGGATAGGGTATTACTCAGTGTTGTGCCAGTTCACAGCTTTTCTGAACTAGTTGAAGTTCAGTTCCTACATGCTCAAAGTGAACAGTTCACGTTCAAAGTTCACATTTTTAATTCTGAACTAGTTCAAAGTTCAGTTCATTTTACTTTTTTCATGAGATACTTAAATACATATGTTTTTCACACTACGAGCAATACAGGAGGTGTACAGGAGATGTATATATGTCCTGTACACCCACAGGAGGAGAGTCTTTTGACCACAAAACAGAGAAGATTTACATGGTTTTCAATGGGAGCAAAACTGAGTTGTTCCATCTCTGCTCATAAACCACAGACAGTAATGTGCTGCAGTGCTGTGTCTATACTTTATGTCAAATGTAAACGGTGTAAACTTTGTTGCTAACTCACCCTGTGTTTTCATCACGACTCGGGCACATGTGAAAAGCACCAGCTCACAGCGCCGCACCGCAACCATAGACTGTATATATTAACTGACAGAGTCACGCCTATCTCCGCCGTTCTAACTAATGGGCCAAAAAATATGCTCTACTGGAGCAATCCAAAATGGCCGCGAGTGGTCACGCCCACAAGAAAATTGTGAAAAAACGCATCTGCGCATGCGTCAGCCGGCGCCGCTCCATTCATTAGAACGAGAGACTTAAAAAATTCGCAGCAACTAAACTAGAGTGGACCAAAAAAATTCACCCCCCTCAGCATTGACACACATGTGGAACGGAGCTTTGGGCCAAGAGCCAACTTTTGGTCCATCCTGTAAAGACGTTTTCGAGAGGTCTGCCAATGCTATATGTTAGCATTGGCTAATTCTACTTCTGGGTCCCCCCATCGGCCCGGGGTGGTATTGCAGCATGTCAGCGTACGTCATTTTGGCCACTTTTGAGCTGGGACCCTCCCCCACTGACCGCAACACTGAGTCGGGGTGCGTTCACAGACGGTGGAAACCGTAGGAATTTTTAGATTTCGGCGGAAAAAGTGCGAGAATACAGGAGGGAGGAACTTTCTCTTGTTGCGTTTCAAAAGAGAAAACAGATTCCAACGTTCATAGTGATGTCTGCCGTTCATGACACATAAAATGAACAAATTCACGTTCAAGTTCTTTTTTTTAAAATGTGTTGCGTTCAGTTCAACATTCACGAAAAAATGAGCGTGTTCAATGAACGCGTTCTTTTGAACTCGTTCACGCACAACACTGGTATTACTAGCTTGGAGCTGAAGAACTCATGTGCTCGGGGGATTCTCGCGGTACTGCAGACTGAACCAGACTAAATTCACGTGGCCTACCCAGAAATGTTCACCCATAGGACTCAATGTAAATTAAAACAGCGCGACCTCAGCTGACAGAGAACCTACAGCTTTCACAAAGGTCGAATTTTGTGGGGATTTTAGTGTCCCTTGTGCCCCAACTTTTTTTCTTCTTAAATCCTTCAGTTTTCTTTAAATCCACACTTTAGTGCCACAAACTCTGCCCGTCTGGCTCCCGCTCTAACTCCCGCTCTGATGAACAGTTCTGATTGGTCAGAGCGCGGCCGAGCCCCTCTGTGCACGTGCGTGAGACCCCGTGTGAGACCCACACACGCGTATTTGTACTTCCGCTAATCTTTTCGGCACCCATGCCCGCACACAAAGCCACTGAGCACAACCATTCATTTGAATACGGCGCCATCTTGGATCGCCGGGGCTTGATCTGAACACCCCTAGCCTCTGTAATTTAGAGAATGTGCATCTACTGTGCGTGGAAACTGCGTTCCAGTGGCGGTCTGAACGCCCCATAAGACGGCACTCGCGTACTACTGCTACTCTAATAGATCCATGCTGCTACTACTGCTACTACTACTGCTACTACTACTCGCTGCCATCTTGGTTTTGAGTATGACACATCGACGTGCATATTTTGTATCAACGTATTTTTGTCCCAGCCCTAACGGTGATGCTTTTGTTTTTATAAAAGACAAAAAACAGCTCTGTCCATGACGTCATATTCGGAGGATTAGTCTTAGTTTATAGAGGGCGGGGAGACGTCGGTTATAATGTGTCTATCATAAATCCAGAAAAAGAATCAAATGTTCTGTTCCAAAAACCTTTTGGACACTTTTGGATTTGAAACAGTTGCTTCTAATGGTCTGATTATTGTAATATTGTACTTTCAATTCTACAAAGAAAACCAAGTACGTAGACAGAGAAACAGAGTGTTCTGAGAGAGTCTGGCACTTTCATTGAGCCTCCCCCCTGTACAGATAAATAACGATATATATAAAAAATACTCCCTTAAGATTGTAACACTACATTAGTCGTCATCTACCCATATTAAAGATGCTATATACAATTTATTTTCTAATGAGATAAAAATATGCTTCATAAAAATGCTTATTACTACATACAAGTTGTATAATCCGTAATTTAAGTAAAAACTTGAGCTCATTGATTCAGCTTGTGCATGAATTCAGGCCGTAAAAAGTGGTGAGTAGAGACTGACAGGGAATTTACACAGTAGGCGTTAACAGCGCGTACGTGTTGACTGCGCGCATCTGTGCGTAACATTATTTGGGTGTATCTACACTGGCCGTGCGCGCAGGTCCGCGGCTTCTGATGCTCTTCCTGTGTAGTCTATGGAGCAGTGTAGAGGACAGTACGGGCCAGAGGACTGATGTAGAGCAACACAAATCACATGCATGCGTTTGTCTTCATGGTCTCTGTGCGCTGGTTTGGCCAGACGCGAGACTTTATGAAAGAAAAAAAAACGATGTCTAGAATCACTGTAAAACCTGCTGCTCCTCCTGCTGATATTTAGATACAAGTGCTGTGTGTGTGCAGATGTGATCTAAATCCAAGGGTCACTATAAAAATCATGTTTCACATGTGTTTTCAATGGGAGACGCGTTGGTGCGCACAAAATTAGAAATCCATCCTAGATTAGGTGCAGCCTCGCGTCATTACGTCCGTCATACGCGTGTATAACGCTAGTAGTGTAAATATCACCATTGGTTAACATGGAAAAAAGTTACGCGCGTCTGCTGCGAGTATAACGCGTATGTGTAAATTAGCAGTTAGCGTGACGCCCGCTCTCCTCCAATCACAGAACGGGGCTGCGTCCTCTAGCCTCTACAGCGCTGCTAAACACAGTAGCATGTTAGCATAAGTGGCTATAACTCCTCTGGCTGTAACTGCAGACACAGAATAACAACCCAAACGACACAAAAGTGAGGAAGAGAAGAGGGAACTAAAGCAAAAAAATTATAAAAGAAGAAACCAAGCCCTGAACATAGCTAGCTTACAATCGTATCCTCTGGAGAGACTTGTCTATGGGAGAGACCTGCGGGACCGCCTCGGACTATCTATGCTCGGACTATCTATGCTCGGACTATCTATGCTCGGACTATCTATGCTCGGACTATCTATGCTCGGACTATCTATGCTCGGACCACATTCAAACGTGAAACTAGCAGTAATCTTTCAGTTATATATTTTGTTAGCAGTGTGTTGCTTTTGTACCATTTCATCAGTGATTGTTGTACAGCTTAAGTTGTGCTAATGCTAATGTTAGCATACGTATCAGATCGCAAATAAAGCTAGATGGCTCTGTGGGATGAGAGCGTAGGGGAAATGAGAAAGCTCTGAGCGAGTTGAGGGCGGTGATAAACATTCAAACCTTGCAGAAACGGGTATAGCTCCTTTAAAAAGGTTTATAGGAGGATTTTCCCAAATTTTAGGAAAGAACCGCCCTCTTCACTTTCAAAACATAACTCTCTGGTCTTATTGGACGAGCACGTATCACCAGAATGATTGACAGTTGGGAGGACTAATAGTTTTGATGATCTACCCGGAAGTAGAAAGTCCACATATATACCTTTATTTTAACTGTTTTAAATCATTCTGCAGTTGTATGACGTGGTTTACACTACTACACTACTGTCCAAGAAAATAATATGGAGAAATGAATTAAGAAAAAACTCTATATTCAATACTTTATGCATATACTTAAGTTTATGTATTTGTTTTTCAGCACAAGGACACATTTTTCCTCTCACTCCAAATACAGATGGGAGTGGGGCCAGTACAGGACGTGCATGCCAGACCTAATGTACATGTTTTTAATGGTGGGAGAAACTGGAGCACCCGGAGGAAAACCTAGGCTGACTAGAGTGAGTCTATTGTAGTTAAAATAAACAAATATTCAGAATAAGGCGCTTCTGGGCATATTTTATGAGGGTTTTTAGTTTGTGTAGCTGTTTGTGGACAGGCTTGTATCATGTTTGATGTTGTGCCATCGAGTTTGTTCCAGAGTCACACCTTTATGAAAAATGCACAGAGGATTGAAGGCGGTACACACATTCTGTTCTTATAAACTGTCCTGGCAGGTATAAGCAGTAATCTTTAATTATATAGCGCCTTTCACAGAGTCACAAAGTGTTTTATATTTGTTGTGGGCATTTGTCTCTGACTCCACACATAGGTGCAAGGTGGCCCATACAGGAGGCACATGCCAGAACTATCATTTTTAGCGATAGGGGAAACCGGAGTACCCAGGGGAAACCGGAGTACCCAGAGGAAACCTACACAGACACGGGGAGAACATACAAACTCCACACAGAAAGGCCAGGAGGTGGACTCTAACCCAGGACTTTCTTGCTGTGATCGCTAACCACTCAGCCACGGTGCCGCCATTGGAAAGTTCCTGGTCTGACTGGAAAAGCGCCAGCCTCACAGTGGGAGCAAAAACATGTGGCTCCATTCTCTAGTTTCTGTGTGAATTATGTTTGAAAGTGCCCAAAACAGGAAGAAGAACTAACAAAAAAAGGACCTGGCACAATAAAAGGGTTCCTTCTGTACAAAAACAATGTAAATATTATGCATTATTTTTTGGCCACGGAATCAGATAATGAGACTATTTACTTTGTCGTTTCATGTTTTAGAATAAAAAAATATGAAATAAAAAAATAAAAATAAAAAATGCCTGTAACTCTCTATGCTACCACCAGAGGGAGCAGTTACGGGCTGCTACCACAACCATGTGATTGTAAAGCAGACTACTTTTGTTTTAAAAGACAAAAAACTGCTCTGAGTTAGCCTGGCCTAAGCCATTCGTACACTCCGTACAATCGTAATTTCCCTGCATGTAACGTCTGGGTCTGGTCCCTGTGTTTGCGATTACAATCGGTTGAATTTCGACCGACCAATCAGAGCGCGGGAGGCGGGTGTTGTAGTTAGTTGTGGATGATGTCAAGAGTTTGCATCGAACAGGAAGGTTGTAGTTTGGTAATGGCAAAAAATACGATAGTAAAGTAATCCGGTCTGGTTCTATCAAGAAATTGAAGCCGGAGCAAGGGTAATGTTTAGCAAATGTAATCACTGGAAAAAATTGTGGCGCTACTCCCCACGGGCTTTGTTAGCGGCAAAGGAGATGGCTAGGCTAAATGCTAAATGCAAACGACAGACTCGGGCGCACTGCATACGTCACGGTAAACTCAGATCCAATCGTTTCAATCTGAAAAAGGAGTTAACCCCTGTACTGTAATTGTAATTTGTACTATGGTGTGGTACGACCAGGCTAGCTCTGAGTGTCACTATTACATACTATTACAGAACTGAGACTGGAGCTTTGAGACAGAATGGGAGGAGCTTTGAGACAGAAGGGGCGGAGCTACATGTTTATATGCCAGAAGTTACTAGTATTAGCGTGGATGGATCTAAAAGCATCTCCAGGTCTGTTTTTGATGAGTAACGCCTTTTAAGTCCCTTGGGTTTTACCTTCTCTGTGCCCTGGTCCACTTTGGTGTAAATGGCCATGAGCTCGGTGTTCTCGGTGTCCTGGTCGGCGCCGGCTGCACCCACGCCGTTCACCACCACCTGAACACGCAGGAAAAAACATTACACTGTGGTTGAAGAGAATTGCCAAAAATTTGGCAAAGTAGTGTCTAGCGTGCCAGGAGCGAGACATTATTGTTCAACGGTAGAAGGAATGACATAAAGGATTAAGATTATGAGATCCTTTTCCCACTGTTGAATGAATACTATACTAAAATAAAATAAATCTCTAACTTTAGCATTACCTGTAGCAGTATGAGATCTGCAGCTTTGGCATAATAAGGAAGCAAATCTAAAATCTCCAGCTTTAGCAAAAGCAAGACTAAAATACTGTATATTCTAGAGCAAGAAATATATAGTTGTTTGTTTACATTTGTACATGTTAGCTGGACACGTGTAGTTCTATATTTGCTCATTCCTGGGTGGCACTCTCGCTTCTCAGCAAGAAGGTCGAGGGTCTAGGGTCAGGGCCTGGAGTTTGCATGTTGTCTGCATAGGTTTTCTCCAGGTGCTCCAGTTTCATGCACTATAGGTATGAAGAAGTGAGTGAATGCATGGTGTTGATTGGGGCTTTGACGCTCCAGTGTGTTTGGCGTCTTTCTTCCGTACAAAGGAACAATATCTGAGATAATATCTGTAAAAATGCACTATATAAAGAAATATTACTGACTACTACTTTACTGAAGTTATTGCACAGATGCACGACATGTGAGGTCAGGTAGGCAGTGTTTGTTAGTCATCATTGTTTGTTGTACAATCTGATTATGATCGTATAAAGACTTTGGTATCACATCTAGAAAGACTGACAAGATTGTGACAGGGCTGGGAAAAACACAGGTTAATGTGCCCTGTCCCAATTTAAATAAATAACTTGACCCACTAATCTAATATTCTTGTACTAGTTTATTCCAGATTTCTCCGCAGATGTCTACATACCAGTAAATATTTCTTGAACTAGAGTAAACTGTAGTGCTATTTTATACTGATTCTTTTTTTAGGCTGAAAATCGAGATTTTATTCCATTTTTAAATTATAGGATTGTGCTATAGATAATGTTAATGTATCTTGTGCTGTGTGCCCCTTATTCCCACTGTTCTGTAACTTGTGATGCAACACTGACATTTCTCCCACTGTGGGACGAATAAAGGATCTCTTAATCTCTTAGTCTTCAACACCTAAGTCCTAAATGTATCAAATGAATCAGATAATCAGAAGGGATTAAGCAGTGGCAATCAGCATTAGAATATTTAAAGGGGACATACCATGGAAAATGTTTTGGGTGATGTCATACTCATTTTCTCTCAAAGTCCTGGTGCGGATGTGTTTGTTTAGGATCCGCAGATTCCTAATACATTGAGTCTACAGAATCAACTCGTTATTCCAGCAGAGGCCGAAACCTGTAGTCATTAAGTACCGAAATAACACTATACCTTTGCCAAGAGGAACTACATGGATAATTTTGCATATTGTCATCTTGAGGACATTAATCATTTTCTTTCGGATTTTCTTAATTTATTGGTAAAACACAGTGGATAGCTTGGTTATAAACGGTTGCAGTACGCTGAAAACACTGCTAGCTAGCGTGATTGCTAAGTAGTCGCGGCTAATCAAGGTTAAAACAGCTGGTCATAGGCGAGGGCGTAGCTCCTCGTAGCTCGGCCTTGTTTACCATCAGTAAAGTCAATAGTTTTACATTGTGGGGAGGACGGCTGAAAAAGTCTTTGCTGATTATTATGGCAAGTGTCACAAGTCAGACTTCTTGTTGAGATAAATTTTGTTGTAATGCCTGGGCCAATACACATAAAAAAACTGTCAAAGTCCCACATCTTTGTCAGCACAAATCAACTATGGTCTCATTATCTTTGCTTAAAAGGTGTCTAGAAGCGGTGACAATATTCAAAAATATATGCATGATGTTGGTCAGTAGAAAAGACATAAGAATATTTCTAAATCTCTTTCAAAATCTGCCCAAAATGCTGATATAGAATTCTTGAATATGTACGCAAACAATTCGCTTCTTTGGAAATTTTAGACATTCTATATAAGTTAGTATTAAAATTATGACTAGTGATTATTATGATTATTACAATACAGATACACACATTACACATAGATCAACTATACAACCACATCGCCCTGAAATACACTGCAAAAAGTGATAAAAAAATAATTAAAAAAATACTCAAATTTGGCAAAATGTATCTTAATTTGAGCACATTCTGAGTGCCTTAAAACAAGATTTCCAATGAGACAAAGAAAAATTATCTTATTTTAAAAAGATACAAGAAATGGATTGAGAACACAAAGCAACAGTTCTTGATAAAAAAACTAAAACAGCTTTGTCCCATTGGCAAATCTTGTCAGAATGTGCAAAATTAGGATATAAACCACTCGATGCAAGCAATTTTTAGCTTATATTTATCATTTTTGGAGTATATTTTTCACACTATGGAGTAAACTTTGGGTTATGACCTGAAACCATGACAACTTGACTACCACGCACATAGACTAGACATTGAAAATTCTCAAGTCAAACATGTTAGACTAATGTAAAGTTACTTATCAAACCGCGGACTCACTGGAATAGGGTAGAAGTCGGCTCCATGCTTGCTCTCCTCTTCGTATTTGGCTGGCTCGCTGCTGCTGTCCATCTTGGGGGTGTTGTTCTTTCCCACTCCCATCCTGGGACTGCCGGGGCCCTGGTGGTCTCGGTGGGGCCCTCCCGGTTCTGTCTCGGCTGTGACGTCTTCTGTGGACTGGATCAGCCTCTGTGCATCCTTCAGAGCGGGCGTGTCGGCTGCGGAGAAGCAGAGATGGGCACAAGGATTACACAAGGTTTTAATAGACATGTCTCACACTCTGGCTTTACCATTGAACCGTTTTGATTCAATTCATGGTTCTCATTACGGTATACATGGTTTGAGGGCTGTGCAATATTGTAAATAAGTAATAGTGGTGTCAAGGATTGCAATAACATTATAAATATCAAGATTTTCTGTATTCAAAGAAATACATTTGAATAAAACCCATTACGATCAGGGTTGATATTTAAAGTATGTTAGACTCTTATAAGTATGACTATTCTTTAATAACAGGGCATCAATAGTATTTGTAGTAGAAATGTCCTACTCCACAAGAATATTGTTTTTCTTCATGGTCACTTTGCGTTTGTTCCAAAAGAAAGAGTCAGAAAATTTTGTCAACAACATTTTTCACAACATCAGCTGTTGTCTTTATCTTTATAGAAAACCTGTTATCTTTTGCAGACATGTAACGAAGGGCCCTGTGAGTCGCTATTTGATGCTTTGGGGTGAGCGTTGATTGGCTGAGTGAGGGTGGCGCTCTCTGGAAAAAGCGGATCTAAAGACGTGACAGAGGCCAGCGATACATGCACGTGAAAAACCAGCGATAAAAACAAACTGTTGGGAAACTATAGTGCCTTCGTTTGTGGTTTGAAGGTGCGATACCACAGCTTTAAGACTTACTGCTTTGAGAAAGTACATAAAAGTACGTCTGTAAACGTCTTGACAGAGATGTGAGCCAACAGATAAAAAGAAAAACCTGTCAGCGTTTGCTATTGTGCAGTTTTATTATACGTTTTATAACTTGTTTTATATGACATTCTATGGGTTGTGTTGTAAATGCCTCTTGGCCAGGACGCCCTTGAGATTTCACTGGTTAAATATAGTAATTATGTCAATGGAGTAGAGGAGTAACTGTTAAGAAACACATTTGATCTTTACGTTGGATAATTATTGATATGAAAGCCTCTGGGGATTGAAACACGCAGGTAAATATCCAACAGACTGAATCTAGCAACAGCCGAGTCTCTGCCCGTCGTCATCAAAGGCTTTGCTCAGTGACTGTAGCAAAATGTGTTCATGTGGTTTCTAGATTTAGATTTTTTCCCCCTTTGTTCACTGTCTTCTTTTGAGTTATGTGTTTTAAGTGCTACGCTGCTTAAATCATTTAAGGAAACTCCTCTCAGATCTACACACGCTTTTTGATCAAGCCGTGATCGCCCGCAGAATACTATTGTTTATTGGCTCCGGATCCGATACTGAACTTTTCATCGTTTTCATATTTTTTAAACGCCTAGTAGTTTAAAGCACCAAAAATGAGGATACCAAGGATTGTGCAACCGTCTCGATTGGGGCATCTTTTAGTTAGACGTAGCGCCGTGTCAAAACATTCCCTCTTCTCACACAACCTTACTTCAAATCTCATTTTGTCCGATATATCGTCACCATAGCAAGAGCTGGTAGCATTGGACCTTGAAGCATTAGACATAGAAATGTATTTTTAGCCTGAGCTGTAGCTATAGCCCTAGAATTGGCAGTAGCATTAGCCATAGCATTGGCAGTAGTATTGGTCATAGCATTAGCCCTAGCATTAGCCGTAGCATTGGCAGTAGTATTGGCCATAGCATTAGCTGTAGCATCGGCAGAAGTATTGGTAGTAGTTTTAGCCGTAGAATTGGCAGTAGCATTGGCTGTAGCATTAGCTGTAGCATTGGCAGTAGCATTAGCCGTAGCATTAGCCGTAGCATTAGCAGCGTTGAATGAGGAAGCTACTAAATCCCACCCAGATTGTCGGCCGATACAGATGCAAGAATCAGATCGGGACATCCCTTTATTGTTGTAATGGCCCAATTCACGTAAAGAGGAGGTCGTCCCAATAAGTTTCTGACCAAAATTTCTTAAAATTTCGTTGGATAACACTCAGTAATTCTAGCATGTAGTGGATTATACAAATACAGTACATGTAGAGTGAATAATGCTAGTTTTCCGATTGTAAAGAAGTTGCACAATGCTAGCCACACTTGTGCTGGTGTCTTATTCTTGTATTGATAAAATGTTGGGACAGGTGTTAATACCTAATGGACACATCCCACCACTCCTGTCAAGCTGCGCGGCTGGGAGCATCTGTGCAAAAGGGGCCACAGAGAGGGAATGAGGAAGGAGGAGGATACAGGGATAAGGAGGGAGTGAGACATACGTTAATTTGACAAACAGCAGCCAACAAGCAGAGCCTTAAAAAAACCCACTGACGACAGACAAAGGTGAACGGCGGAGGATGGAAAACCTGCTTGTGTTATGACAGAGATGAACTATGGATGAAAACTGTACAGAGAACTGTGACCCGACAGAAGAGAGTCTCCTGTGGAAGCAGAGATGCAGAAGATGGAAGAGGTCGTGAACATATGACAGTTTCCACCAGCACTACTCGGCTCTTCATTACCCCGATTTGGAGCGTTTCCACTGGCCCTGTTTAACCGGCACCAAATACCTTTATAACACCACCTTGGCCCTGGTAATTTAACTGTTTGCTGAAGTGTAATGGAAAACACACCCAGGTAGAGTCGAGCCGAGTAGGGCTGGTGGAAACTGGGCAAGGTACCCCTCGTGCAACCTCGAGTAAAAATGACTCGCCACAGTTTTAAGACCATAAATTAGGGCATAAATTATGGTCTAAGTGACCCAGGGCTGGTAAAATTTGACCCGAGGATTGCACATAGGTTAAAGAACAATATGAGTTTTAAAGCTGTGGATTAGAGCTGAACATGACTAGTTCTACAATTACAATTTTTCAGAACAACATTGTAATTTCATTAGGGCTCTAAGTACTTGGTTGGAATAAAGACAATTGTTGTATTTAAGTTAAATCAAACAAATTCTGCATTGAAGTATTGAACTTGTTTCTAGCTTTTCATAGTAATAGTCGTTTTTGAAATAAACTAAACTCTTGTGAGGCACCAGTTTGTCTGAGACACACACAATTACTATTGGAGAGGCAATACATTGAATAGCAATGCATTTAACTGTCGAACTGTGTTTAACTGTATTATTATCGTACGACTGAGAGCTTACACAAACTTACTTACAAAACTGTAACTGATTTGGAAAAGGAGCAGAACTTGTGTGTATTAGTGATGGATGCTTGTGTGGAGCGTGTGTGACTTGTGTTTGAGGCTGAAGCCGCTCATTCAAAGAGACAGGACCGACTGACACTGAGTCTTTGTGTTTCATCGATGGAAACATGAGGAAAACAAGAGGCCCGTTCTTCAAATCTTCTGATCATAACTCATAAGGAGCATTTCTACTGCAAAGACGATTTATTAAGGTCTAGCCGACACGCCTCATGAGCAACACTTAACATTGGAGCAAACAGCAGTGCATGCAGAAAGAACATCATGTGCAGATATTTTCCATGAGACTGAATGAATAAAACATAGGGGCCAGAAATGACAAACGTGACGATTCAATTAGGGGTGTGACGAAATATCGAAAAATGTATATATCGTCACACCCCTAATTGAATCGATACTATCGCGATTCGATTATCGATATGCATTTGCCAAGTATCAATATCGATTTTTTTTTTTTTTTTTTAATTGGTATCAATACTTAATATATGGCTACATTACGCATCTCCATTCCATTTATCATGAAACAAAGTGTACTTTTTCTTTTATTTATGCCATAAATTGGCATATTGTATATTTCTGACCAATATATCAACAATCGTCATATCGTGATAAAATTGTTATTGTGATAATATCGTTATAATATCGTTATCGTAAGCTTTGTATCGTGTATCGTATCGTATCGTGAGGTACCCTTAGGTTCCCACCCCTAGATTCAATAGTACTGCGATACTTAGGCCACAATTCAATATTATTGCGATTCTTAACGTTTTGCGATACAGTAAGTATTGTGATTCAATTCCGAGATATATTGCTCAATTTAAAAGTCACATTTATTATGAAGTGCAAAAACTTTATCCTATATCACAGGACACAAGACCTTATTATAGACAAGAAGACATCATAATTCTCTGAACAGACGACCTCTCACATGAATGGTGAGTTCCCATTCAAATACAAGACTAAAGTCACAAAAGATCAGATCATTATTTAATTAAATATCTAAATACTTTGCTCTAAGCCCGAATTGATTGAATGTCATCTGATTATGCCATTAAACTCTTTTTAATACATAACTCAGAGTTCATTCCTTCTCCAACACCATCCATTTGTTTGTGCGGGAAACCCAGTCTTCAGAAGAAGGAGACACGACACTCTAACCCGTCAAAAGCCAGATTGAAGATTGTGTAGGACTTAAATGAGTTCTCCAAAATATAATTAAGATAAGAAGATATACTTTATTAAATCTCACACAGGAGAAATTTACATTGATTGTATTCCTGTGTGTTTGTGAACTGAAAAATACCGCAAGAATTCATCTTGCAGACAAGGTTAACTCTGCTCTACTGTGCCGTTAAGATTGCGTGCACTAAATATTGAACAGAATTGATTTTCCCCCAACACTAATAAAACTTTGTTGAATGAAATTGTGATGCGAAAATAAGCGTTTGCGTTGATGCTGCACAGGCTGTTTTAAACCACCAGATGGCGCCATAGAACACACCTAGGCAGTGTGCAGGTGCTTCCCTCCCGTCCCGTCATTGTCATTCCACGTTTCTTAGTTCTTGTTTTCAGTCCCGGTTCGGTTTCCATTTTGTATCGTTTTCTCTAGAATTTGTTTTGTATTATTTTTCTGGGGTTTGGGTTCTTTTCGTTTTCCCTTGTCACACCAAGTCCTGGAAATACATCACATCTGATGAACAGTTATAAAGTGCTGCACAGAGATCACAGAGATAATAAAGTAGTAAAATCCAAGGCTTAGATTTGGAGACGATATCAAAGTGAGGGAGTGACCACATTTGTACTGTGCCCTTTCAGTCCGTCTTCTGCTGGAGGCTGAGGCCGAGGGTCGATACAATAAAAAGAAAGGAAACAAAGGTAATTGGATCACTATGAATCGATTATAAAGCTAACTGTAAACTAATGCAGCAGTGGAATAATTGACATCTGGACGATAAATGAACTATAAAGCTGACAGAAGGAGATTTACGACACAGAGAAGAACGACACAGGATTTCATTACTTTTCTTTCTATCAAGCTGCCGCCCCCAAAGCTGTCCCTTTGATCTGGGTCAAAAAGAACGATCCTATTGACAGGCCACTTATGGTAAAAAAAGCAACTTGGGAAATCCAAAGTATAAGCAATAATTAGTGGTGTGCTAAAAATACAGGTTTTTGCATATTGATAATGGATTGATTGGATGTAGGGGTGGGCGATATGGCCTAAAATTCATATCGCGGTATGATTTGGGTCACAGACGGTAGACGGTATACATCACGGTATAATTTGGTGTGTGAATTTCAATATAGGTTTAGCAGGTTCTTGCATAAAATAGTCAAGATTGTTACTTATCTATACATTAGAAACTGATATATATTTTTTGAGTTTGAAAATCAGGTCAGAGACAAATGCTGTAACATACATTATTTATGTATGTTACAGTAAAGACCATTAACTGTGAAAGCAATTTTAAATAATATTAAAATATATTATATAATATCTGTAGCAGTTAGACATGGTCATTATTTATAGTGTCAGAGTTTAGTGCGTATGCATGGCTTCAGTAAAAGCTATTTGTTTACAAAGCTAGTCTTGCCATTTGTTGACGCTCCCTAAGCGCTTGCTGTGAACTGGATGATTCAATGGATTTATCTGCATTAAAACAGCGCATTTGATTTGAACAATTGATGTAAATGCTCATTTTGGCACAATTAATTTTGTTTAACAAAGTAGCTTTCGTGATCTATTGACCGCGGAAGTCTGAATCGGACGCTAACTTTACAAAACTTCTGAGATGATGCGGACACGGCACAAGCATGGATCTATTTCGGCTCACGATGGCGCTTCGAGCCTACGCCCCTTTGACACTCATTGGCCGAAAGGTAGACATGTAAACTGTGATTGCTGTGTGTGTATTTACCTCTGCTGGGGCCGCTGTGACCAATACAGAGACAGAAACACGGTGTGAAAGCCGTGCTGTTGTTTCCAGTGGTGTCTGCTAGGCTAATGTGCTAGGCTAATGTGCTAGGCTAATGCTGCTGAATGCCGGTTTGTTTTGGTCCTTTCTGCTGGCGTCAGAGCCTGCGCAATTTGATGACATAATGACCTATCGCAATATGCCGGTATAACAAAAATCTCTACCGTGGGCCAAATTTATACCGCATACCGCTTATACCGTTTATACCGCCCAGCCCTAATTGGATGCAATTAATTTTATTCATTTAGTGGGGTGACAGTGGCTCAGTTGGTAGAGCATTGGCCTTTGAGCCAGAAGGTTGTGGGTTCAAGACTTTCACCATCGACTCCCACTGTCTGCTGTCGTTGTGTCCTAAGGCAAGACACTTCACCCCCATTGCCTATGAGTCTGGTGTGTGTGTGTGTGTGTGTGTGAATGGTTGGTGGTGGTCAGAGGGGCCGATGGCACAGACTGGTTGCCTCGCTTCTGTCAGTGTGCCCCAGGGCAGTTGTGGCTACAGTAGGAGTTTATCACCACCGTGTGTGGAGTGAATGAATAATGACATGTAAAGCGTCTTTGAGTGTCCAAAAAAGCACTATATAAAACTAATGCATTATTATTATTAATTATTAATATAGATAATAAATTTGTCATAATTTTACTGTATATTAATTGAATGTGTTTGATATTTTGACTTTTATGGCAATTCATCCTCAATAAATGAAAAATGAAAGCATCAATAGTGCTGCATTTTTGTTCAAATGGGTCGTAGCGTACATTAATGGACAAAAAAACATATTTTTTTACTGAATCGTTATCGGCAACAATGATAGTCTGAAAGGTCCACTCATTGATTTGTTTGTTTGAAATAATTACACGTCTTTAAAGTGATAGTCTGGAAGAATTGTATTAAATTGACCTCCTGGCATGTAATGTTGATATAAAACAAGTCATTTTATGAATTCTGATATTACGGGTAAGTCCCGCCTTCACTTCTCTTAGCTATAGCTCAAAATCCACGATACTGTCCACTTTAACCAAT